CATCTCCCCCTGTGTGGAAGCAGGCACCGCTCCTGTTTTTCCTGTGTAGGATCTGTGATCTATTCCGGTAGCTGCATCGTGCAGTGCTGCCTCCAGTAAATATTCACAGATTTCCTTGTAAGATGATGCTTTTTTCTTTTTTCCTCTCTCCTGTGTGGATACACAAAGGCATGTGTTGTACCTGCTTTACCCCATGGGATCTACATAATCAGGTCCACGGGTTTTAATGGATTTCAACCCCCTTCTGTCTATGGGTACAGTTTCCTGTCATGTTTGGAGCAGGAAGAGCCGAGTCTTTTTTGGTCTTAGCATTCCTGCTTGCCTAGGCATTGGGAAGAGTTCTCTGGCTATTTTCCTGTTTGATTTTTGTGTGTGTTTTGTTTTAAGCAGGACAGAGTGCATGTGTGTATGTAATCCATGTGCTCAATTAAGAGAGGCATCTGTTGGGTTTATTTCACATTGCCGAGGAAGGACTGCAAGCAGGGAGCATCTGCTCAGCTTTTTGTCAATGGCTTGTTTTTCATAATTTGCTCTACAGGGTGAATGTTTGGGGAGGGGGAGGTGGCTTTTTATATCTGAGTTTCATCTTAAATTTATTTTTTATGGTAGCTGGGGAAATTGGCTGGGATTTGAAAGTTAATTTCGCTGTGAAAAGGTCTAAAGAGGGAGAAACAAAACCATCCCAAGTAAACAGTACTTATGTAACCTTAATAATACACTCAGAAGGACCCTTATGAATCATTATTTGCAGTATTTTAATGACAAAGTAAAAAGAATTTGTTATGGTGTTTTTTAAATGTCGCAGGGGGGTTTAATTTTTCATTTTTTGAAAAAAAACAGCACAATTTTGCTTAGATTTTATTTTGGGGAAAGATAGAAAAGGCATCCAATATTCAGATGATTTTTTGGCACTTTGTCAACAACAACAACAAAAACCTCTGATTTTAAAATAGAGCAGCAGTAGTTTCCTGTTCTTATAGTTTAGCTTTTGTGCATTCAGATGTTGGCTGTATTGCACCTAGCTGGTTTAGTGAGAGACTTAATTGCCTGTAAATGTCTGTGCTTCAAAGGCTACTAAACCTGCTGGGAGTGTTTATACAAGGGTGCTTTTTACACTTTTTTTTTGTGGAAATGTCCTCCAAGAGGGCTGTGGAGGATAATGACTTCGTGATGCCCCGGGAGGACACAGCTGCTGAGGTAGTGTAGGGAACTCAGGAGGAGAAAGCCTCAAACTCCCCCTAATCCCACAAGTGAAAGACAGATCTTACCCCTTGCAATCAAACAAACAAGGATACAATCTCACATGTGTAGATGGAGATGCTGGGCCAGAGTAACCTGTGGACAAGATTTGGATCTTACTAAAAGTGTTTAAAGAAATAGGATTAAAAAAGATAGTAATAGTGTTTTGCTCTGTAAGTGAGCCCTAAGACAAGGCATTTATGAAGCCACTTTGAAATGGTATTAAATCTGCATCTTTGGTGTAATGAGTTGTCAGGGGAGAGGAAGAGTGAAGCATTAATAAAAATAACTTTCCTGACAGCTCAGTCCCACACCATAGCAAGTATATATATATAGTGCTAACACTGTAACTTTTTTTATAAAAAGCAGCTGATACCAGTTGGTGAGCAAAATGTTAATGCAGGACTGTGGGGACCAGGCAGGTGAGGCTACTTTTGGGGAGCTTTGCTAACCTGGGCTGTCACAGAATAACATGTGTAAAAGGACAAACCACAACAAACTTTGTAGTAGCAGGAAAGTATTTTCATTGCTTGAAAAAAAAAATAAAATTCAAACTTTGTCATCACATTAAAAACATTACATGAGAAGTAATAAACATATTTACACTTCTGTTTTGATTATAAATATACATTATATACAAAATAATGTTATAAAACGTAGAAAGTTCAGTGCTTCTGATTTTTTTTTTTAAATTACTGAAATACTAGGCTTCAAAATAAACTACAAACAGACAAACTAAAACCCATATTATTGATTTCTGAAGGTCATCTTCAAAATGGTCCTACGTGGTCGGAGCAGAAGGTCAGTAGTGGACAATATGAAGGGGTCTTGTCTGCACAGTTCAAGGGAGTAGATGGGCTAGTCCAACAACAGGCTTTACAAGGGCAGGAATATCGCTGTCAGAGAGATAGCACAGTCTGGGTTTCTTCTAAGAGATCTTGTTTCTCCCTCCTCATTCTGCCCCATGCCCTGGTCTCATTCATGAGTGTCACGGCACTTTCCACTGGGGTGTCTGGTATTATTGCTGTAAATATGTATAGAAGAAAGGAGCTCCTGCCCGCCTCTGGTTTCCAGGGACAGACACAGCACATTTTCCATGTAGCAGTAGGTCGGCAAGAAAGAAACAGGATGAGCCTAAAGCCTTCTAACTCTAATCTCCACCTATCTTGGCAGAGGGCATCTCAGTGGGTGCTTCACCACTGGGCATTTAGAACCGGAATGAAGAACAGGAGCTGGAGTTTTGCAACCAGATGGAGAAGTTGGGGGGGGGTAAGTGGGTTTTGTCACACTGCTGCTGCTTCTTCAGAAAGTAAAACAGCTGCAATTTTGGGACTATTTGCAGTAAAAGGTGGCACCTAATTCAGAAACACGACATAAACCCCCGAGTTTGTGTCAAAATAGGGCAGGGGGAAGAGAATGAGGAAGGAGAAGAAAAGAAGTAATGTCTATTCACAATCACTGGTAGTGCAAAGGGCATGAAAACAGCTGAGACAGCTCAGCACATAAAGGTTCTAGGAGCTGATTGATTTTAAACGCATTCGTAAGGCTTTATATAGAGCTGGGATCACACCTCCTTCCCTATCAATGGGGACGAGGCAGTACACATTCCTTAGCACAACTTCCACAAAAATCATGTTCCCCATCGTGGCTTGAGACAATCAGTTCTCCAAAGCATCACCAAATGAGATGACATGTAAATTCGGTTTTCTTCTTTCCTCCTCCTCTCACCCCTTACACAGTCTCCAGTACATGCAGCAGGAGAGAGGAGATGCAAATGGATGTGTAGCAGGAAGTATCAACCACCTCTGCCCAGTACTGTTCAGGTAACTGCAAAAAGAGCAGTCAAGTTTCTGTTTGGGCTTGTTAGATTCTCTTGACACATTATAGGCACTTTTAAACCCAGAAAAAATTGAGACCTCATTTATACTGTATCCATTATCTGCATAGCAATGTGTCTTGCTTCGCACCTTCCATGGCAACATCTGTGACAGTTATGTGCCTCCTTATCTACCAGCACCTCCCATAACCAGAGTTCTGGAAAGCCAGGGGTCTGTCCATGAGGAACTGGCCTCAGCATCTTTTAAAACACCAACATTTTTAACCTCTCTCTTCCCTCTGCCTCCCCTTTTCAATAGCAAATAAGATTTCTGGTATCAAACATCAAACAAGGGCAGTAAGAATAAAAAGGTGTATTGCATCTTTCAGTAAATTCACAGTCTGTCCAGTTCACTCAGTTCCATCCTCCGCCTGAGAGCAGCAAGTTGCATGTAATTAAAAACAGTCCAATCCAGTTCTGAATTGTAAACAATGCAGCAGGAACGTCCATCTACTGGCATCACCAAATCTGAGGTGCAAATGGGCCGATCTTCAATCTTATACCTGTCAGGATATAAAATAACACCAGGAATGAGAAGGAATCACAGCATACAGAGTAGTACAGAACTAACAAACTATAATTCAGCTATGTCTAACCAAAGCAATTTAAGCCAAACATTACTGCAGTTTAACTCTTAGTGCTCAATGTTTTCCGCTGGACCCAGGGTCAAAGAATCACCAGCAAAAAAAAATAGTCATCTGTGTGGCCTCTCTACCTGGTCTGAGAGGGAGAATGCTTACAAACCTGGGTGCTTGACATTAGGGAACTGTAAAAAGTACATAGCATAGTTAAATAGTTTGTTTTTAGAAGCATTAAGCCTGAATGATGTGGAGAGAGATTCTAGGGGTTGTCATTCTGAAAACAGAAACATTTCTGGAGATGCCTGATGTAAATTTGGGAGCCTAGCTTTGGTCAGCAGGATCTCCGAAGATAAAGTATTTAGGTCACTTAATGGGAATGAAGAGTCTAGCTGTCATTTGTATCTTTGAATCCTTTCACTTAGTCTTAAACTTAATATTGTTGGTTGACTTGTGTTCCAGCTTGCTTTCAAGGGGAAATCTGATATCCACCTTGGAAAGGGAGACTGAATCCTGCAGATCTGACTTCACAGATCACTGCTGTATGGCACAGCAAGCTTCTCTTTCCTACAGGGTGAAAGTAGTCCTAAAGATGGCTACACTGAAGAAGACAGGTATTGGCTACTGTCAAATTGCCTTTAACTTCCACTGAGACCTTTTCCAAAAGGCTGATAATTCTTCAGGAACTGGCTGGTTCCTCAATACCTGCTTTTATGTCTTTAAAGTTCAGTGTTAGGCCTTTCCTTTTTCTGTGTCTCCAACTTTTCAATATAATGTAAAAATCGAGATGCTTTTATCGGTAGCAGCATTAACTTCTGTTAGAGAATATTTAGCTGGACCTTAAACACTAGGAGGTTGAAATTACCTTATAACAGACTTCCTAAATGCCTGTTATGCCTATCCACTAACACATTCCACTACCTTCCATCTTCAGCTAGAAATCTATAGCTTTGCCTGTTTCCACAGAACAAGGATTATCCATTGTAGTCACAGGAAAAAACATGGCTTTACATCAATGGGGCTAAGAACGATTATTATTTCCATTTTTTCTGACCACCTATTTAAGAGGAAATAATCCTACAATGTGCTGAATTTTTATGGGCTGATGTTCTGTGTTTTCATCTATTACTGACTTATCTATGCCCAAAACCTTTGGTTTAATAAAATCAGAGCGGCAAATTTTTTTTATTTTCCCCACTGTATGTTCTGTGTGGGCCACAGAAGAGGAGAGGAAAATGCTGGGAAGCATCACGCTCCCTGGAAATAAAGGAACCTTCTCAGAAACAATACTAAAGGATAATTTACCCTTTCACTTTGTGAATTTATGCCTGTCCACCTCTGTACCTACTTACCTCTGTGGCTATGATGCACTCATTCCTTTCTTCTGTTATCACGAAGACGGACTGGTACATTGAATCCCTCGGAGAGCATATCGCTGATATTCTGCATTCTGGCTTTTCACTAAGGCAGGGCAGAGAAAAAAGAACATTAGCTGACTACTAACAAACCTGACTCTCAAAATCTACCATGAATATGGAGCGGTGGAATGAGATAGCCATGAAGGTGTGGAAGGGAGATACATGGCATCAAGTTTCACATGTTCTGTGTCTGTCGGGATATTACGCTAGAGAAGTGGAAGTAAGGAACAGTGAGAGTCTTCCTATGCTCCTGCCACGTCCAGCCTCACAGCACATTCCTCAGAGCCCTTGGTAACAACCACACCAAGATCCCAGACAAGACCTTCAGCACATGAATCAGAAGACTGATAAGCCACTGAATACCCGCCCTTTTCTCCTTTTGAAAAAGAGTAGTTGTTTTCACTCCACCATTCATCTCAGTAAGCAGATCATCTTGCCTTCTTACAAAGTGAAATACTTATTTTTAATCACTGTATGCCTTAGCTGTTGTTCCTCCAAGATCTACTGAGGAAGGACTGACACTTCTTACTTTCACCACTGGCCTAGCTACTGCGGGTTCCTTCACAGTGTCCATGCTAACAGCACCCTGCACAAACAGTCAAATTAACTTAGCTAAAGATACCACTTGGTTGTGACACACGTACTCCAGTATGAAGATTCCTGGCTTCAATCTGGTTTGTTTTGTCTATTATCTGCTTGAGGTTTCTTTTTCTCTCTTATGCTCACCTGCCTCTAGACTGATAGGAAGATGAGTGGCTTTAGGAAAGACTATAATAGAAACTGCATTCTCACCTGTGTAGTCGGAGGGGAGACTTCTCTCCTAAACACTTTTCACTTTTGTAATATTTATCTTCTGGTGTCCCTCTACTCGTCAGGTCTTTTACCAGATTGTAGTCCAGTTTATGGTTCTTGGGTTTGTAGTTTGATTTCTCCAGCCCACAGTCCACTTCCAGGTCTTTATTTTTATTGGTGTTTTTCAACTGGGAAGCTGGAATGAGATTGTCCTTCTGGAAGTCAGACAGGTTGTTCATTGTCTCCAGCTCCTGCTCTGGGTGCATCCTCATCTGCCTGATGACCATTGCTATCATGCAGAACAGTATGAGCAAAGCCACCAGCCCCACCCCCATGGATATAGCAATCCAGGGGACTGGTTTAGGAGGAAGTGTGACGGGCACTGAATAAACTGGCAATTCACAGCGGTTGCCCATGAAGCCAGAAGGACAGTAGCAAACAAAGTTGGCACTATAAAGTCCACTGTAGCATGTGCCTCCATTCTCACACGGCCCAGAAGCACATTCATCTCTGGTTTTGATGTCACAGTTCCTGCCACTGTAGCCTGGCATGCATGTGCAGGTGTAATCGTTGATTAGATCATGACAAGTTCCCCCATTGGAACATGGGTTTCTGGCACAATCATTGATGTTTATCTCACATTTCTGACCAGAGAAACCAGCCCGACAGCGGCACACACGAATCTGCCCGAGGTAAAAGCAACTACCATCTGAGGGGAAAAAAAGTAAAACAAAAATTAGTTTGCAATGCACTTCACTCAGAGATCCAGATCTTTCCCCAGTCAGCATGTTATACTACCTCAAGAAGAGAGACGTTATTTTACAAAACAGCCGCATATCTAAAAGTTCATTCTAATTTACCTAATTGTACTACCGTGCATTAAAATTATGCCCCTTCTAAATATGTAATAGAGTTAATTTAATTTAATTCTGACATCTTCCCCATCATATGATAAACCTCATGCATTGTTTTGTTGCACAGAAAATGCCAGTCAAAGTCCCGCCCCAGCAAGAGACTAAAATTAGGGTGGATGTGGAATGCAGCGGGGGAGAGGGACTAATGTTCTAGAGGAAGAGTAGAGGTCAGATTGGATTTCTATCACTTCTGCACTGAAAAGCACAAATGAGTCAGGGTCATGAGATTTTTTGATAAAAAGTCTCACCATTTGCACACGGGTTGCTCGTGCACCTGTCTACTTTTTTTTCACAGTTTGACCCTGTGAAGCCGAAAGGGCAAACGCAAGCATAGCTGGCCCCTTGTTCCTTTTCCAAGCACGTGCCACCGTTGAAGCAAGGAGAATCTATACACGTCAGAGCGCTGTGCTCACAGTGAGTGCCATAGTAGCCAGGGGGGCACAGGCAGTGATAACCGTTCTCCATATCCTGCAAAACACAGCATTAAGCCACTGTTATTTAATGGAAACCAATGATAGCTCCCTGCAGTCTTAGTTCTGGTCAGCAGCAAGCGCTGCTCAGTCCCTTCTCATCCACAGCCTGATGTGGCAGAAGCGACATCATCAGAGTAAACACCTGCAGGTCAGACTGTGAGGGACAGAGCTGTGCATCAGCCGTACTCAGTGTACAGGAGTAATCGTGCAGCTACCCACGCAGAGCAGATGCAGTTGTAGGGAGCACGCAGGCAGCTAGACAAAAACACTGCCAACACCACTGCTGTCTAATGGAATCCAGAGGTCTTCCCAGAGCAGAGTGATATGTGTTGACCTCACAGCTGTCATCAGGCCATTCATCCTCAGTGTGAGAACCCCTTTTTATTTCACAAGGGTTTAAGTTGCTTTGGCTTGAATAAGTCCCACCACTTAAATCATAACAAACTGTTTCTTCTTTCCAAGTACTATACGTCCAAGGCCTTGGCAGAAGGGAGGTAGGGTCTTGTGCTTTAATCTAAAAATTGCATTTGCTTTAATCTAAACATGCATCAGATCCCATTTGATATCTATAATCAATCAGCCTTTACCAATCCCCCTTTGGTAAGAATCCATCATTAGGCTGAAACAGTAAACTACAAGAATCTATAAGTGTGGAATTCTGTTATACAGAAAGTTTCAGCTGATTGCCCCCATATTGTTTGATGCTATCTTCTCATAGCGGAAAGCAAAATTTTCTTTTATTTGCTATTAAAATACAGACTTAGTGCATGTTTCTGTATGAACGGTGGTTTGAGAAGCTTATTTTTAACAGATCTGCTCCCTCATCAGCCCTGGATCTTGCCAAGTTCTCATAATGGCTGCCACAGAAACCCAAGGATCAGTTGACTAGTTCTAATCTAGATGATACATCTCCTCCTGTAACAGACTTCCTCCCCTGACACCTCTCGGAAAGGGTTCAGTACGATAGTTGTGAGCGTCAGTAATGAACCTGTGTCCTATCGAATTCCCATTATGTTGTTACAGAACCATCTCTGAAAAGGTACACCAGGGCTTGCTTCACACAAAGGCTTTACATTTAAAATGCCCCTACCGTGCAGCTACCGCCGTTCCTACAGGGATTGCTGTCACACTCGCTGATCTCGTGTTCGCAGTCGATGCCGGTGAAGCCGGGTTTGCACGCACACGTGTAGCTGCCCTGGCCGGTGTTCATGCAAGTTGCTCCATTTTTGCATGGCCTGTGGTGAGTGCAGTAGTTCAGATCTGCAAAGACACCAGGAGTTAGGAGACTATGTCTTTGACAGCTGGGAAAAGATATACGTACGAAAAGGCTGTAGCCAAGAAAAAAGACAGAATTTCCAATGAAGCAATTAATTTTGCTATCAATGGGAATACTGGAGATTGTTATCCAGGTTATTATCAGTCATAATCAGATTACCATCTACCACATGAGCTCTGAATTTTCAGAGAGCTGGCAAAAATATAACTTTCTTAGTGTTTTGTATATTCTCCCTTTTTTTGTGGACATAAAACTGTTGCCTGCAATGGGATTTATGTACCAAATTGGAAAAAGTACTTCATAAGCGTGTGTTCTCCGAAACATACACCACAGCACTACGGCCACTTCATGTACAGCATGCTACACACTAAAAGAGCGAGCCCCATCTTTAAAAAGTGTGCTCTGAGGCACATTCTGGAAAGGCGGGGAGGAAAAATAAAAGATGTTTTGGCTTTGAGATTTAAATAAACACTAGAAATCTTTTATTGTTTGTTTGCTCTCTTTTTATGGATGTTAGTAGATTAAACTGTCAAACGCTCTGGCAAGCTTGACAGCTTTATTATTTTTTTTTTCCTTTAAATTTGAGACAGAGATTAAGCATAAGGTAAGTTCATAGGACATAAGAAAAGCTTTATTATCTCTATAAATACTATGGCGTAATTTGAATGCAACTGGTTAATAGATAACTATAAGCAGAAAAAAAAAAAAAATCTGCAACTTTACTTTTCCTGCTTAATTCAGGCTTCACAATCTTAATCCTATAACTGTCCTGGAAACACTTAGCCTGCTTTGAGCACTTGATGATCTCAGTGCCAGCAGTGCATATACGGCCTTGAGGACATGACTGCTCAGCTGGCTACGGTTCAGTGATTGAGTGGGTTGAATAGGTGGAAGTGGTCTGGTGTACCTTAAAATGGAACCTGTACTTTTCATTCTTGCTTACATGATTTTTCTCTCATGCTCCAGACTTATCACATGAGTTAACTTCCTTGTATGCAAAATAAGGAAGGTTCAAATGGTGGTGTTTACTGCTGCTCAAAACTGTTTAGTAAATTGTTATATTTCTAAAAGGAAAAAGTTAAATTTCGTTTGAGCAGGCAGAAAACTTGTCTGTTCAACCAGATTGTTAGGTCTTTCTCCAAGAGAAACTTCTTTTGCAAGAGAAAAACTGCAGCTGCCAAAAAAGTTTCCTTGTTTTCAAACAAAATTACTACAAGAATTGGTATGTAAGGCTGCAGTGCTACAAACTTATGCCTGTGAAGATGTACCTTGGGGAAATTTAACTCCAGCTCCAGTGGGTCAGATTCCTCAATGCAGTACTAAGGAGTACCCAACCTAGAGCTGTAAGTGCAAGCTTCAGAACTAACCTTGATCACAGAAGAGGCCACCCCATCCTTCATCACATATGCACTGCCACTGTGTTTTACAAGTCCCGTGGCGGCAGCCTATGTGGGGAATGCATTCATCACAGTAGCGGCCTTGCCAACCGGGACGGCAGCTAAAAGAAAAGTCCAATTACAACATTAATGACATGGAGAAGAGTTGAAGTTTCTGTTACAAGGTGACATTTTAACTGATGTTCAGACTGCAATTGCCATCTACTCACATGCACTCTCCAGGCTTGTTGCAATATCCATTCTGTTCGGTACATCCAGCCAGACAGATGGCTGTGAAGAGAACATAAAAAAGCATAAATGTTTAGGTAAATACACATGGCGCTACAGAAGACACTTTTAAAGGATAAAAAGCTTTAAAAAACACTTAAAAAAAAAAAAGATTTTTACACTTTCAAACTTTGTTTTAAAACTTCTTGGTACAGGGAGTTCTGGAGCAGGAGGAAGTGAGTAGGGAGCGCCAACACTTGTTAAGTTGTCCTTTAGTTTTTCTGTTTATGCAACAAACATGAACTCTTGCAACTCTTGCTAGAAAAGCAGCAAGAAAAAGTGGCTTTGGCTTGTCCTGATGAAGGGCTGAAAAAACCCAATGGTACCCTGAGCTCAAAGTAAAGGTTCCCACTACTATACGGCAACACCTGTCTCATGTCCTCTGGCTGCAGGAATGGTTGGCTGGTGGCAGACTTTGTGTGAGCAAGCTGCTACCCTTTTACCTTGCAGCAGCTACTGCTATTCAGGGCTATCAGCCAAGGTCCCTTTCCTGCCAGCTCGCTCTTCGCTGCTAAGGCTCGAAGAGGTGCAGCACGGCGTTGGGGTGGTTGCAGCCAAAGGGGACAAAGTCCTCAGCGCACAGCTTTTCCTCTCCAGACAGGGAGTGGAGAGGTCGGCATGAAAGCACGGCCCGGCCCACGGGAGGCCTCCGTGAGCTTTGGAGCCGCGGCCGCGTGTGCCCCCCGCCCCACCCCGCTGCCCGCGGCACTCACGCTCGGTGCAGTACTCGCCGGCCCAGCCGGGCAGGC